CGAGCGGGGAAGGGGGCGCTCGGCGACCGGACGGCGACCCGCCCCTGCGGGGGTCACGGCTGCCTCCGGCGTCCCCACCCCTGTACGCCCTGCGTTCCTCGAAAGCCAGCGTGGCCGGGCGGGCGGGGTGCCCCGGGGCCGTCCAGGTGAGGCGCAGGTGAGGCCCGTGGGGCGCTAGCTTCCGGCCGGGCCTGAGCGACCGCTGCTGGGGAGAAAAAAACCCAGGCCCTGGTCCGACCTCCGCGGTGCGGCACCTTCCCTGCGCCTGGCCGAGCTTCCGGGAGGGTCATGGGGCTTCCCTGCCAGGCCTCTGGGCCACGGATCCCCGAAAATTCCCTTGAGGGTGTACCCTGCTCGGAGACCTGTCCATCCCCTCCCAGCGGGGGCTGTCTGCACTGGCCTCGCTGAGAACTGGGTGCTGTTGTAGGCGGCTGGACCCCTGCCTGGGTGCAGGGAGCATCTGGGGTGAACACCCCTGCCTTGCACAGTCGAATGTGGTGGTCTGTGTGAAAGAGCAAGGCAGGGTCAGCCATGAGGGTTTTATAGGCGCGGGCTACCCCACTGTATCTTTTGGCGGTGGAGACCTTGTTTTGAGATAAAATTTCAGCTTCTTAAGGGTCTTGTAGGCGACCAGAGCGGACCGCCCCCTACACCCCGTTGCCATCCCCTCCATCTCCTCGTTGACTACCTCCTTCTCCCCTGTGTGACTGGTCTCCTCCTCCTGGGAAGTCAGGCCCAGCGGAGGACTGCTGTTTGTGGAAAGGTTGGGGTGCCCCTGTTTTGGTAGCCTCATTGTTACAATGATAAAGTTTAAACTTGGGTTTTCTCACTGCAGGAGGCTGGTGTCAGCTGAGATGCCAGATGCCCGCCACACTGGCACCACACAGCTTTGGGGCACCGGTACTGGGTGTCCCCGATTCGGGGTGCAGATGGCAGTCTGACAGAATCGGACCCCTTGCTGCATCTCACCGTTTGCTCCAAGCGCAGTGTAGGGGAGTTTTCCAGAAGGACTCAGCAAATGTCACCTCTGATTGTTCCCTTCAGCCTTCAACTAGGTAATTTGACAACTCAGAAGTTGGTCACTAGATCTACCAACATTTAACAGCTAAGCACAACAGTGCATGGCGACAAGAGTATTTAAACCCCCTCCCCAACTTTGTTCTACCTTCACCTCCAGCGCTTGTGAAAATCACTGTCATTCATGGTAACTCCATGTGCCTCAGAGAAGAGCTGAACTTCTTGGAGTTTTCAGGAGCTGTTTTTCTAGAAGTAAATTGCCAGCCTCTCCTGCCAAGGCATCTCTGGGTGTACTCTAGACTCCTTCCTTTTGGTACACAGCCGAGTGCATTAACCGTGTGCACTAACCAATGATGACTCCTAGCTTTGCTACCTAGTAAAATTCTCAGTTGTCACGCATGTCTGTTTCTAAAGTGGCATAGTTGTTTACCAGCTGTCAGCCTGTCATACTGTGTTTGCTTCCTTGTTGTTGTGATGCTGAAAGCTATGCCACTGATAAGGCAAATACAGCAGGGTCACTCGAGGTGGACAGGTTTCAGCTGAGCCTCCAGACTAAAGCAGACTAGGAAGAAGGACTGGCAGTCTACTTCAAAAAAACTGCCCAGTGAAAACCTTATGCATAGCAGCAAAACATTGTCCGACAGAGTTCTAGAAATGAGCAAACATGGCGGTGATGTGAGGATGATGCACGATGGGGCAGTATTTGGTTCTGTTCTGGGGTCACTAAGAGTCGGAACCAATCTGATGGCACCTAACGGCAACACTAGCTGCTATTAACACCATTTAGACTCTTCAAGACTCACACAAATGTTTACTGTCACGTCTCTTGTTCGGTGGAGGTCATTTACGTACACCCACAGCCAGGCAGTGTGCCTCTCCAGGGTCTCCCTAAATGTGGGGTGTCTGAACATACCCCACGCGACAGTGACAGGGCTGTGAGCTGTTGAATGAGTTGACAGTAAGTGAATGCAGTGAAATGTATTTGTTCTCAAGTTCAGCTCTTCCAAAAGTTCATTGGCACCCTTACATTTGTGATAGTCTTTGCCCCAAAACAATGCCTTCACATACTTTCAGCCTCTGGATTAGAGAATTAGAAATCTCTCTTTTGAATCTGGGCAGCCAGAAATCTTTAAGGAAACAGCTGTGTCTTTGCTGCCACTTAAAACATGATGCGTCTTACCCATATCGTCTTCTCTCTTCCCAGGATGTTAACGAGGACAGGAACGTGACCACACACCCTCTCTGCGTGCCCGCCCGCCCGCTAGGATGTTCCTCATGAACGTACCTCCTGTGGTTGCTCTCCAGTCAAAATGGGAGGCCTTCGGCCCCTCGGGAAGCTGTAGGTTTCCCGGGTGCTTCTCAGAGGACACGGAGGGGGTGGCGAGGGCAGCGGTCAGCACCAAAGTGCAGATGGTCATCAGCACGCTACGGAAAGACGGGGCCACCTTGGGCATGAGCGATGAGCACGCTGCACACAGAAGCCACCGCGGGGAGCCATACCGCAATGCCAGGCTCACTGGCAACCCGGCCGTGCCCACCACCTGCACGCTCGCCACTGACTTCAACTCCAGGGAGCAGGGGGCGGCGGTGGACTTTGGCCCCCTGGTGCTAGATTCAGACAGCGATGACTCCGTGGACCGCGACATCGAAGAAGCCATTCAGGAGTACCTCAAGGCCAAGAGCGGCAGTGTCCAGCCTGTGTCGGGCGGGGCCCGGCCTACAGTGGCTGCAGAAACAAGCAGCCAATGCAAGCTGGACCCACTCCACAGCAATGCCACTACCGCCCTGTGTCCCACAGCCAAACCTGGGGCCGTTCCCACAGTGGCAGGAGGTGTCTCTGGTAGCCCCCCAGGGGCTGGCGACAACCGGGGTCCTCCCTCCCCGGTGAGTGTGAGCAGTGACGACTCTTTTGAGCAGAGCATACGGGCAGAGATAGAACAGTTTCTGAATGAAAAGAAGCAACATAAGATTCCAAAGGGTAACGTTCCTGTGGTGAAAAAGCCAGAACCAGGTGAGGTCCCAGCAAGGCCGCTGTGTCGTTCCAGCAAAGAGCCACTCGTGAGGGCGCATCGCCAGGATGCGCTGGGCGCAGGCAAAGAGTTTGTCTTCCGCAAACAGAAGCCGGCAGTGCAGCCTCGGGGCCCCAAGGGTAAAGTCACTGCGGAGGCCGAAGCCGGCCCCAAGGTTGCCGCTTGCCGCCCTCTGGACACAACTCAGAACAAAGGAGGCACTAAGCGGAGCGCTGGTGCCGGCAAGAGGGGGAAGCGGGCCAAGAGCGCCGCCCTGGTGCCCACAGCCTCGGACTCCAGCAGCGATGATGGCATCGAGGAAGCCATTCAGCAGTACCAGCTGGAGAAAAGCCGCAAGGAGACCAGTGGGGATACGCCTCTGAGAGCTCCGCCCAGAGATGAGAAGGGGCCAGCCCCACCTGCCAACAGCACATGCGCCTCTACCAAACCCGTCCTGTCGGAAACCTTGCGGAAAACTCCGAGCAGGAAGAAGCCAGCAACCACCAAGGCCGCGGAGGTCAGCCCGGTTGCCCTCGACTCCAGCAGGCCCCCGAAGGGAACCAAAACTACTCCGCCAACAGGATGTACGGCCACCAAGGGCGAGCACGTAGATCAGACCCCTTGCCGGGCAGACACGTCAGCAGAGCTGATGTGCGCCGAGGCCATCCTGGACATTTCCAAAACCATCCTTCCAGTCCCACGCACAAGCTCGCTTTTGTACACCCCTGGTGGGCCTTCCCGCTCCGACGGCGATGGCAGCTCTGTGGACAGTGACGACAGCATCGAGCAGGAGATTCGAACATTCTTGGCCCTTAAGGCGCAGTCGGGGAGCTTGCTGGCCCGAGCCGAGAGCTGCCCGCCGCCCGCCTGGAGCCCACGGTCATCACCTGGACCCAATGGCCCGGTCAGTGGCCCCAAGGCCCTGCTCTCAAAGCCACAGGATGCGCCCCTGAACTGCAAAAGGAAACGTCGTGGAGGCGCCAGCACGTCTGCCAAACCATTGGTGCTGAAGAGGAGTAAGGAAGTGATGAAGGACTCCCCGGAAGCTGAGCACACCCTCGATGGGCGGGATGTGCCGAGCCCAGGGAAAGCCAGCGAGGCCCCAGCCAGGGAGGTGGCCTCGGAGACTGGGAACCAGCCTCTCCCATCCAAGACAGCCGAGCTTGAACTCATCAACCCAGACGTGAGAGGCGGCACGTGGCTTGGCTACAGCCAGGCAAATGAGGCAAGGGGTGTGGAGGAGAAGGGAAGCTCCGAAGACCACGACAAGAGCAGCTCTCTGGACAGTGACGAGGACCTGGACACAGCCATCAAAGACCTGCTCAGGTCCAAGCGCAGGTTCAAGCGGAGGAGCAGGGAGCCTCGAGTGCCAGCAGGCAAGAAGCGAGTGCGCTTCAGCACCACCGAGACGCAGTGTCTGGAGACGCTGGGTGACCGCCAGAAACACTGGACAGACAGGAGCCCTTGTTTGCTGAAAAGCTGTCTCTTAAAGCCCAAAAAGGACAGCCGGGAGGCCACGACCAGGAGACTCGGCTGTGTGGCAGAGATGGCCCCGGTGGACAGCTGCGGGGACGTGCCCGCTGCATTCGAGCCTAGGAACCAAGTCCCAGAGGGCAGTCTATTCTCGAACACGAGGGAGGTCCAGAAGAAGGAAACGGAGGTCTCTGTGTCTGATGACAGCAGCTCCGTGGACAGCGATGACAGCATCGAGCTGGAGATCCGCAAGTTTCTGGCTGAGAAGGCCAAAGAGTCTGTGAACTGCGTAGGCAGTCACGCCAGCGGCCCCCTCACTCTCGGGCCAGAGGGTCTTCCCAGGCCAGAGACCCTGGGCAGAAAGGAGCTGGCACCAGCCCTGTGCACATGGAGCCAGCGGAGCCGAGAGGCCACCCTGCTGGCCGAGGAGCCAAAGAGTGCAGAGAGAGCCACTGGAGCGCCGAGCTCTGCCAGGTTCTTTAGCCAGGGTGCCAAAGGTCTCCCCACTGCCCCGGGCAGGTGTGAGCCGGCACCACCCAAGAGCGCCAGTGTGACTTTCTCAGCCAAAGGGTCCCCTGCAGGCAGAAGAACCGCTTCTACCAGCAGAGATGTGAATCCCAGAGGGACTGAGCCCGAAGCAGCGGAAAGGGCTTTCGGGCAGCTGCCCAGTGGTGCCAAAGCCAGCCTGGAGGCAGAGAGCACTAGTGCCTTCCAGATGAACCACCAGAGCCTCAGCTCACTGACTCCGGGCCCTGGGGAGGACAGGGAGAACCGCGTACTCCTCTGTGGCCGGCCTCAGGCCGCACTCGTCAGCCCGTGGACTGACTTCACCCAGCAGGGCAGGCCCCAGAGCCCATGGCCGCTGCACCCAGCTGCAGCCTGGAAAGGGGGCCTGGGAGCCGAGAGGGACTGCGGCACAGAGGGGCCCACCAAGTGCTCACCTGGCCCGGCGCTGGACCCCAAGAAGAGCCTGCCCTTTGCCGGCTTTTCCCCACTGCTGTCCACTCAGCTGTTCCATTTTGGGAAGAGCGTTTCCTGGGGCAGCAAGCAGGCTAGCCTGTTCAGCTCTCACCTGGGCCTGCCGCTGCAGGGACCCTCCTTCTCCACTTTCCGGGGGGTCCCACTGGGCCCCAGCCCCATGTTCGGAAGCTCCCACCTGCTGGTGAAGAAGGAAGGTGGGCAGTGGTTGAGCAGGAAGACCCCGGACAGAAGGACCTCAGGGTCAGAAGAGAACATTCTAGACCTGAGGTATAGGCGCAGGCCCATGCAGAGAGATGAGGATGATCAGGAGATGCTGGGCAGCGACGTCAGTGAGCTCAGCGACACCTCCGTGGAGGACGGTGCTGGCGGTGGGGTGAAAGGCAGCATTCTCCAGCTGTGAGTACACGACCACATCTGGGTATCTGTGGGTACCTGCACGCCTGTGGTTCCCACGGAAAACCCAGGCTCCATCGAGGGACGCTAACTCGGAACCATGTTTTTATTTAAGGGGTTTTATAGCTTTTTGTAAATTACTGAAATGTGTTGTTAAAAAAAAAAAAAACTATTTTTGGAAAACACAGTCGCTGGGTTTTGCGGGATACTCCCCATGGCACAAGTCTCAGATCAGCCAGCACTGGTTCCCACGGCCGCAGCCAGGCTTGGAGATGAAGACTAGCCAGTGAGAAGGACCTTGGATGCCCAAGGCTCCAACCTTCCCAATTCTCTCCCAAGGATCCCCAGGGTAACCCCCACCCTGAGATCTCTGCTGGTTTGCTCACAGGCCAGCACTTCTTAGAGGACTGCCCTCCCCACCCCCAGTCCTAGGAGACCGGAGCACATCCCCGGAAAACCACAGGCAGAGCCTCAAACGGGAAAAGGGTTTCCAAGCACAAAGGTGTCACCCAGATGATGGGTCTGTCCTGCTGCCTGGAGGGACCCGGGGCTCGTACTTCTGAAGCTGTGTGGTCTCCTGTCTAATCTTGGCCAGTTACTAGATGGTTGTACAGTGGAAATAAACTTCTTTTTATATGGGATCAGCTGGTGCTCATTCCCCATCATTGTACTAAAAGGTAATAGGCAAACATGTACGTTCTGAGTGTCTTCTCTAGAAGTGTGCAACCGAGTAAGCTGAGCTCTGTTACGAATTTGCTTTCCAAGTATGAGCCCCATGCAGCTGAGCATTAACAATGCACCATTCCCGAGCCTTCCTCAAGGTCCCCCCAAGTCTCCTCGCCCCTCAGGACCTGGAGTCTAGTCAAGGTGTATCCACACAACAAACGCTCAGGGCTCTTGGGGGACAAAGGGACAGTTTCTCGGGTGGCCTCTGGCCCTTCCCTCTGCTGGGATCAGTGGGTGTTGAAATGCAGGTGGCTACCTTGCAGTGCAGGAGAAAAGAGCCTTGGGCGCTGAGGTACCCATGGTGCCCGGGGGCTACTCCGAAGAAAGCAGGTGTGTCACACGGTGCTGGACACAAACCCACAAATGCCCAGTGCTATAGTTTCGTGGGAGCTTGGTGGGTATCCTAACACTCAGAGCATGTTAGCCATGACTCATTGTGAAGTCAGCCGTGACAAGCAGGCTCAGGCCATTCTCCTGCTACTGTGCATCCGGCGTCCTCCTGGTCACTTACATGAGGCACCACTCAGGCGCTTCCAGGGAAAACAAGTCCACGGAGCCATCCTTTAGACTTGAGTTCATTGTTTTAAGAGGTGTGCTTGTGACGCTCAGACACAAAACCCAGCCTGTTAGGTGTGTAGAGCTGTGCTTGAATACGAGGAAACCAGGCCTGCTCCGGAACCAGTCTGTTAAGCCTGTCCTTGGGCGGGCATGGACCCACAGGGGCTACCTGCTCCCAATGTCTGTCGGCACCACCTGCTCCCACGTCCTGTTGGGACAGGCCCTTCTGTGGCACCCTCACACCTACACTCATGGCCAACTCCCGGGGTCGCTCAGGTGTGTCTCAAACTGGGAGCTCCCTGCAACCTTGGTTCTCTGGTTGCTAGGTGTTCCTAGTGCTGTGGGTTATAGAGTGGGCTGCTCAGGTAGTGTAGTGGTTAAGAATCAGACTGCGAACTTCAGGGTCAGCAGTTCGAAACTATCAGCTGCTCCGCAGGAGAAAGACAAGGCTTTCTGCTCCCGTAAAGATTTACAGCCTCAGAAACCCTGTACAGGGTCACTATGAGTCAGAACTGACTCCACAGCACATAACAACTGAAAGATCAGGGGTTCAAGCCCACCAGATGCACTGCTGGAAAAAGTTGTAGCAATCTGCTTCCTTCAGGAGGGCAGCCTTGGAAACCCTGCAGGGCCACTCTCTGCCCACAGGGTCACTGTGAGTCAGAACTGACTTAGTGCCAGTAGGCGTGGGTCACCCTCCTCTCTTCCCCCTTTCAGCCCCGGTTCGGGAGCTTTACGGGTCAGATGGAAGGGTGATTTGCTTGGCAGGTCCCGTTTTCACAGTGTGTCCTGGCGTGGCCCACACGTCACACTGGATGATAGGGCACAAGTCACCCAACAGTCCTGAATGGACAGGCAGGAATGCCCTAGGAACCTTGGTATGAAGGCCCCCCGCTCTACAGGAGACCCTGGGTGTGCACCCAGATGGTAAAGTTGTGGGGTGTAGCCAGTGGGCCACTGAACCAAGCACTTTGAAAGCAACGTCTCTTACCCCAGTAGATGGGGAGTGGGTAGCAGCTCATGCCTGGGCTTGAGGGTTCATGTCATGCCAAGTGGTAGTGGGGAGACCTGATTTGAGAAGCATCTAGTGCTCCAAGGCAAGCCGTCTGGGGGTATTGGTGTCTGTGCAAACGGATCCCTTTCCTGGAAGAACGGGTCTTCCAACAGTCCCAGAGCAATGTCCTCATGCTTGCGGAAGCTAGGCATTCATTGATGAGGAAGACTAGAGAAAAGTTGATGCATTTGGTTGATGGTGTTGGCAAAGAACATTAATATATCACAGACCATCAGAAGGATAAACAAATCTGTCTTGGAAGAACTACAGCCAGAGTGCCCCTTCGAGGCAAGGCTGACCTGTTCTCAGGAGGGACATGTCCCTGGAGAAGGACACCATGCTTGGTAATGTGGAGGGTCAGTGAAAAAGGACAAGACCCTCAATGAGATGGACGAGTTCAAACCCAGATAGTGAGGACGGAGCGGAATCGGGCTGTTTTGTTCTGTTGCCCATGGAGTCACTGAGTTGGGACAATAGCAGCAGGGCAGTGGGGTGCAGGGGGGGGAGAGGAAGAACTCCCAGTGGTCGACAGCACATGCCTCACCCCCATCTCTGCACAGGGACAGAGACAACTCTGCATTTGAACTGCCAGGATTTTCTAAGATATCCTAGACTGCTAGCCACAAGGCCAGTGGTTCAAGCCCACCAGCTGCTCTTTGAAAGATGAGACCGTCTGCTCCCATCAAGATTTCATCTCGGCCCACCCCCTCGGTACACAGGGTAGACAGGGAAGGGCACCTTGGACACTGGCTACCCAAAATGGGGGAGCTACAAAGGCAAGAAGTGACTGGCTTACACGCTTTCAAGAGGGAGCCTAGATCCAGAGGGCACGGAGGAAGGAAGAATCTCCACTGAGTAGTATCCAATCTGTCTAGGCGGGGCTCATGAAAGGAGATGGGGATAAGACTCTTAGGGTTCAATAGTGAATAACTGCTATCAGGACTGACTGTGAGGGTTGGAAATGTAAAGGTAGATGCTTTTAACAAAAGGGAGTGATCAGCTTTGCAGTCCAGGAGCGGAGGTCCCTGGGACCATCAAGAGAGAAGAGTGGAGTGCAGGACCCTACCCAGAGAAGCAATGACGTGGAGAGATGGAGTGGCTGGGGACTCTAGACCCAGAGAGAGAGAAGGGCTATGTGCTGATGACCAGGGGGCAGGCTTGCAGGATATACCCTTTGGTTGGTTGATGATACATGGTGGGGATTGTAACCATGTCAATGAAACAATATACGATAGGATGAATGTAAAGCTAATGTTCTCCCATGTAAACTATCACATAATTCACAATGAAACACTTTTAAAAATAAAAGATTTCATCTCAGAAACCCTAAACAGGGTCACTGTGAATCAGAATCGCTCGATGGCAGTGAGTTCGGTTTTGGGTAAAACCCTTTATCCTCGTCTATTGTATAAGGATCTCTGGTAGTGTAGTGGTTACAAATGGGCTGTGAACCTCAAGGTCAGCAGTTCAAAACTACCAGCTGCTCTGCGGGAGAAAGATGAGGCTTTCTGCTCCTGTAAAGATTTATAGCCTTGGAAACCCTATGCAGGGTCGCTATGAGTCAGAACCAACTCCATGGCACACCACCACCATTGTAATTCAAAGTTAAAAGTTTCTTGGAGGAAAAAAATACATAGGCAATATGCTTTGAGAGTCAGAAGTTAACTGGTTTAAACCAGCTCAAAGGTTCAATTAAGGGATCCTGGTGTGGCGCTATAAGATAAGCACTGGACTGCTAACCACAAAGCCAGTAGTTCAAACCCACCAGCCACTCCTCAGAAACCCTATACAGTGTTACAATGAATCAGAACCGACTCCACGGCACTTAATAACAGTAACGTGATATGAGAGGACTGGACTGCTGACCACAAGGTCGGCAAATCAGACTCACCAGCCCCTCTCGGAAACCCTACACAGGGTCACAGTGAGTGGAAACCAACTCAACAGCATACAACAAAACCACAACAAAGGGATACGAAGCTGTGTTGTTAAAATTTGGATTGCAGAGAAGAATCAAAGGGCCACATGAAGCAAAGACCTAGTTAGTGCTCAAAGAAAGACGTTCCTAAGAATTCCGAGATCCTCTTTGTTTTCAATACATGGCTGTTGCTGGTCTAGGGCGCCTTTTGTGTTGGCGTTCTGATTGAATTTGAGGTTTTGAGTGAATAGAAGGGTGGCTTGATGCTGTCGTCGTCTCGTGTGCAGCCACCCTTTGTGGATGCATAAACCACAAAACAGAAAACATATTCTTCCTGGTGTCAATTAAATCAGTGGATCGAAACCCTTCCCCTCCTTCCCCAACTCAAAGATTTTAGTTTGAAAATGAGTTTAAAAAGACGAAGTTCTGGCCATTTATAATCACTGAAGTTCCTGTGTGACTTATACAAACAAACAGAAACTTAGGGTCCTGTCTCCAACACTGAGGACCTCCCACCTTCCAGGACACCCCCAGGGTGGGTCCGGCCCAGGAACTGCCAGGCATGGCAGTCCATCAGCCCCTTCTAGCCCCTATCAACTGGACAAGACCAACTGACCTGACTCAGCTGTGAGGAACAGGTAAGGGGCCCGTGCCCAGCCCAAACCCAAAACCAAACCACTGTTGTCAAGCCAATTCTGCCTGAGAGTGACCCTGCAGGACAGAGTGGACTTGACCCATAGGGTGTCCAAGACCGTCAGGAAGCTTCATCTTTCCTCTGCAGAGCAACTGCTGGGTTTGAACCACCGGCCTTTCTGTTAGCAGCCCAACACTTAACCCACTGCACCACCAGGGATGGCCCCAGCCACCTGGAGCTCACATGGCAGGTACCCTGACTGAGTTTTCTGGAAGATGGGCATGGATATTCTATCTCATTTATTCCTGTTTCCATCTTTCCAAACTGAACAGAGTCTAACTTGACATTAACCCATGAGTCTCCATGAGAGACGATCAGTAAAGCAGTTCTGTGCTTCTGATACCAGCGTTACCTTCCTGTCTGTCTGCCTAAGTTGGCTCAGTTGATAGTCTCAGTCCAAGCCTCCATGTTGCCCAGTTAGGGTTTGTCCGGTTTCCGGTGGTGAAACTTCCGGGGGTTTGCTGAGCTTAGGTAAAGCTGTCTTGCCTAAAGCCCTAGGATCAGGGAAAAGTTCCTTTTACTGGTGGCTTTACTGTACCCCGATTTCTCACCCACTTTTCGGACTCCGATGTTGAGCAAGGAATCTGTTCATTTCTGCTTGTTTAGAGAACTTGACTAATAAGACACCTGTTTCTGTATTTTAGTAAAGGCTAACAGGTTATCAGCACCTGTAATTTCTAACGAAAGAACATAAAAATGTGTTTTCAGCATGGTGTCTGGGTCCCCATTGGTTTTCCAAGAGAAAGACAGTGCATAGGCCCCACAGTCTGTTTGTTAATTGTTTTTTTTTTTTTAATTAAGCCTGTTGATTTTTCTCTGGAAAGGATTTCTGTTCCTTTTTGAACGTTAAAAATGTTGCCAAAATGTTTCCTTTTGCTATTCTTTTTTTTAATTTACAATGAAGGAACCACCAAGTCATAGTACCTAATTTCTCCCAAATTTCAGTAGTGAATAAGATGCCCTTTGATAGAGATCTATATAAACAAGACACCATGGTTTTTAAAACGTAATGCCAACTCTCTGCTTTCTCGAATGGTCCAGATTTCCTGTAATAAACCTTTGTTGCTGTGGTATATGAAGGAAGACAGTCTGTGACTGAAAAGTAGATCCTGTCATCATTTTAGGTGTTTTCCATCTTACTGTTGTTATTATGTACTGTCAACACCGGCTTACAACGGCCCTGACACATCTCCATCGTCCTTTGAGCGTGTCTTGACTTATTCACGTTTCCTCGTGTCCTTTTCCCAGTTATAGTTGTTAGGTGCTTTTGAGACAGTTCCAACTCATAGCGACCCCGTGCACAACAGAATGAAACACCGCCTGGTCCTGTGCCAACCTCACAATCATTGCTATACTTGAGCATTGCTGCTGCCCCTGGGGCCTTCCTCTTTTCCCCAGCCTTTCCTTAACTAGCATGATGTCCTTCTCCAGGAATTAGTTACCTCCTGGTAACATGTCCAGAGTAGGGGAGACGAAGTCTTACTGAGGCCTCCCCGGCTCACAGGATTTTTAAGTAGTAATACCCCAAATCCACTGACTAGTTATCCGCAAGGGGCCCTAGAGATGCCATAGGACAAGCACTGGACTTGTAACCATCAAACTCACCAGCCGCTCAGAGGGAAAACAGGGAGAATGTGTGTTTCCATAAACACAGACAGCGTCAGAAACCCCAGACAGGGTCACAGTGTGTCAGAATTGACTCGAAGGGAGTAGTCATTCTTGCTGCATGAAAATACAAGTGGTTCTATGCCTACCTTTTTCTTTTTTTTTTTTAATTTTATCATAAAAGATAAAGGACAGAACCTCCCCACCTCCCGTACCAGTGCTGATACTGAATGGCATTTTGCAGATTTTGCAGCCTGGTTTTGTGTGTGTCTGAAGGGGACTCTTGTAAAAAAGTCCACCCACCTGCACCTCCCAGCAGGGACGCCTCCCCACCTGCTTCAGCGTCTGCCCACGACCCTGCTCTCCTCATCACCTTCCCATTGTGTGTGTGCAGATTTCACCCGGGGGCTTTCTATAACCCAACATGCATATAACTTACCACGCATATAAAGACGGCTCCCAAACAAAGACGGGGGCTGTCTCTGTGTGTTGCTGGCACTCAGCCAGACTTGGACCCCAAGACCACTTCAGCCTCTCTCTTTTTACACATGCCAAAAGAGTGGTGTGGCTGTGGCTTTCATTGAAAAGCACACAATTGGCATCTTCTCCATACAAGAGGGTCAGTCTAAAAGCGTTGTTGCTAGGGTTCCAGTTCATAGGTGCATGGTTTATTCCAAACAAACATGTTTAAACCTGCCCTGGCCATCAAGGGATGGCTGCAGACAAGTTCTGTCACAAACACACTTGTCCCAGTCTCAAATCTAAACCGGCTACCAAGCTGGTCAACTGGACCAGTTAGGTTCCAGTAGAGAGGTCAACTTGGAAGATTATGGCAACTGTTTTGGGGATTGCAAAAGGGTCATCTTGACAGATTTTTCTCCAAGGACATAGGACAATCATGAGACCTTATCAGGAAGAAGTTTGAAGACAAAAAAAAAAAAAAAAAAAAACTGCATCGATGAGAAAAAGAGGAATTTCTCCAATGATACCAATACACCAGCTCCTTCAGGGGAGCGAGGGCTGTTCTAAGAGAGGCTCAGCACCTGCAGCCTTGATAGTTACCCCTTTGGATGTTTCTTGTTCCCAAAACTCAAAGAACATTGAAAAGGAACACGATTTGAGTCCCCTGAGGAAGCCAAACCGATTGTTCGAGTGTGGTGTTAATAAAAGCACACAAATTTCTTTGGGGAAAGATTAATAACAACAAAAGGAATCTGTTCCATGAAGGCAACTCCAACTCATGTGACCTTATGTAGTTCCTGACTGTAAATTTTCAGAGGAGCAGACAGCCTCATCTTTCTCCTGCATAAAAATTGGTAGGTTTGAACCGCCAACCTTGTGGCTAGCAGCCCAGAGATGGAACCATTGCCTTCAGAAGTGTGTAGGGCCAGAAACCATCGCGTCCCAATCTGGTACTTTGGTTTCATAAAGGTCTCTGTGGTTTTGCAGCCACATCCTTTGACTTCCCCTCAAGCACCTTAGAAATAAAGCAAAAGTAGGAATGACAACCCCATTTGCTTACTTCTCTATTGCAGAGAGGAAAATGGGGTGCAGGGAAAGCAATGAGGGCTGGCCCATCACTACTGGACAAGTGGCCAGGCCCAGCAGTGAAAATACTCCAGCTTGCCATCACTGGGGTTAGGAGGGCGTGTCTTGACCCTTAGTGGCAGATGGATGGCTTGTTGACATTGTAGCTGGGGTGGAAGTTGAGGCGGTCATAGGGAGTGATGTAGTTGTCCGGGCCTGTCACAAAGCTCTTCTCCACTCTGACATTTAACGTGTTGTTCTGGTACATACCAAAGGCTGCAAGTTTCCGGGAAAATTTACTTGAGTTAGGATAAAATACTTTCTGGAAGAAAAAAGGAAGATGAAGATTAATGGTGCATGATCATACTCCAACCATCCACCTGTTGGGGATTTTTGGAAGAAAACTTTGGAACAGACATCATGATTAGTAACAGAAAACCCAGGGCTTACCCAAGACCATCCGAGTTTATGTCTGTTGTCTTGGCGTGATAATTTCTGTTGTTGGCTGCTGTCAAGGTGACCCTGACCCCGTGTCACCCCATACACAATGGAAGGAAACACTGCCTGGCCCTGAACCAGCCCCATCATCAGATGCAGACCACTGTGATCACCAGGTCTTTCTTCCTAGTCTCTCAGCATCATAGCAACACACAAGGCTCCATGTGAGGTGCACTGGCCAGGAGCTGAACCTGCATCTCTCCCGTGTGCAGAAGTCGGCTCTACCATGGAGCCACCATAACCTCATCTGTTTTTCAGTATTCCCTTCCACTCTCAGTAACCACCTGGTGGGGGTGGGGGTGGGGGTGGGGGCATGGACACACGCCAGACATGGTTATGAGCACTAACTTCAGGCTCAGGTCTGGAGTGACCCCTACTTCTGTTTCTCCAGCTGTGTGATGCTGGACAAGTCATTGGACCTCCTGGGATTCAGGTTTCTTTTCTGTGGAGTCGACGTGATATCGACCTTCTCTTGACCATGACTGTGTATTAGAATCATTTGTCTTATTGTTAATTACATGCTGCTGAGTCAATTTCAACTCATAGCAACCCTGTGCACAACAGAATGAAACACCGCCCGATCCTGGGCCAACCTCACAGCTGTTGCT